GACAATTTGGCTCACGGTCGGGAGTCGTCATTAAATTGGTCAAATTTGATTTTCACACGTTACCTTGCGCACTGTGTGTTTGGAAAAATTTTAATTTGCAGACAAAAACATATAGTAAGAATGGATCTAATGAAATCATAGTTATTATGAATTTTATTTGAGCCCCATAAAGCTGAATTCGTTTTCAAAACTTTTGCTCGTTTGTTCTTTTTCATGAAACGCGTATAATATTATGATGTATCTAGTATCTACCTTTTGCATGTATGACGGTTATTATATAGATACATTTGTTTAAATGATTGTTTTCAGTCATTAGAATGGTAATAGTTTTTTCCACACATGATTATATATTATCATGACTTTATAGCTTATGTTACAGTAAAATATATGTACAGAATATGCATGAGTAAATTGTTTATTTTTTATTTTTATACTTATATTTGTAAATAAATGAAAATTCAATAGGTACCTGTATTCATTTAAATAAAAACGATTCTGTACACATGGAATTAGAGATGTGACTTATCTAACATAGAATTATTTTCGTCATAAAATAAGTAAGTTTAAGGTATAAGATTCGGTAACTGCATAATATTATGCGACATTTTTACTTTTTATTGTTAAAAAGTTTCATTCAATAATAACTTCCCGAAAACGATTTACTTATGTGCTATAGCTATAATATGGTTTACTTTCGAAATATAGTATGAATTATTAGTGTGACTAAATATATATCTCTAAAAAGTAACAAAAATTGAGTTCACTAGATGGTAGGTAGCAAAAGTTTACAATTTTTGATTTTAAATGCAATTAATGAAGGTACAAGAACATGTTCAAATGTAGTTTGTCATATTTCGCAAAGTGTAATGCGGTAAACTTCCTTAGACCGTTTCAAGTATTCACGCACGTAAAACGTATGCACGCGACGAACAAGTTTCTTTCGCTTGGGGCTCCCTACCTCACTCTCACCAACGCTTAACTCTCATTTGTACCATTCGACAAAACTTCGTTAGGGAAAATCAGCAAATCGTCGACCGTGTTTTTGGCAAATACACAACTGAGAGATATGACATAGTTCCTTAGAACAAATTCTTGCACGGAAAGTACTTATACCTCAATGACGAATTTCCTTCTATTTAAAACATTCCAAACGTAAAATGATTATAGGATTCAACTTTAAATTACGTTATATGACCCGTAACCCGCGGTTTCAATAAGTTTTAGATAAAACTTTTGTACAATATGTTGAATTGAAATATTTTAATATCATATTTATTATTTAGAATATTTTTTAAGTCACTAATCAGCAGAAAAATCAAAATGAAAAAAAAAACGACAACGAATAACCGTAATAGTTCCAACCCCATTATTATGGTCTAGTGTAATACAATATTATTTCGCACCCTCCATTTACGATTATTATGATACAATTATGTATTATACCGGTATATTGTTCGAAAATAGCATAATATCATAAAAACCTATAATTAAGCCTGTAGATTTTTTTTTTATTTGTATTCCAAAGTTTACTATTTGTTTCATCAATAGGAAAAATTATAATTTACATTTGAATACTACATGTTAATATGGTAAGATTTTCTGGACAAAAATAGGTATTGTTAATACACAATGAGAACACGATAAAATGTTTACACAAAGAACTTGGACTAATGGTACAGTGTTTAATAATAATAACAATAATTTCTACTTTATTCAAATGCCAATATAATATGAATTTTAAAAATTCGCCCTCCCGATTAAATTCCACTTATATACAGTGTGTACCATGCTCTGTATTGTGAGGGATGGGTTCGATTATTGTACGTTAACGAGAACGGTTCGGGGAAAGTTTCGTAGCTAAATTTTTTTTTTTTTAAATTTCTATATAAATAAATTATCATACAATTTTAAGTACAAATTAAATAACATCGACGAACAGCAACGGTTATTATTATGTCGATATTACCCACCTACCTATCATATAATATTATTTTTTTAATCGTAATAATTTTACTCCAATCCGAGCAAATCGCCATGAACATTATATAATATATAATATTATACCATTATATTATACACTAAACGTGGGTGGAGGGTGGTAAAAAAGTTTCCATTTTTCGCAAACCATTTCCTATCGGACGAATTACGGAGAAGAGCTCGACTATAATGTCATTGATGTTCAGCGTTCGTGTGTATATATATTATATACATACATATATATAATATATATATTATAGGAACGGGAATGATGGACACAGTATATATAGCGAGGTCGTTACATTATATCATTACGGTGGCGAGGCGGATGGAAGCCACATAGGTTTAAATGTTTAAAGACGTATTGGCCGTTTTATGGATTTTCGGTACCTAACATTCCTGAACCGACCAACATTATAGCGTCCGTAATTCTAAAAGGGTTGACCACATAAAATATTGCCATGTGTACCCATCAAAGCATCGGTATAGTATTGGGATCATTACGTACCTACATTGCCGCCGTTACTAGCCATAAGTTATTATTTTAATTACGATTTATGGTGGTTCGGTGCGATGTGACGACCTCGGGGGATTTAAACTTGTTTAGAAAATATACGAGTATGGTACAGTAACATTGTTTTTTTTTTTCACCTTTAGTGTACAGTACGAATTTAATTCAATAAAAGTTCAAAATAAATGGCCTCAGGTGAGTGAAAAGTCGGGTTTTCTCTTTATCATATTTTCATTTTTTTATTTTACCATTTACATTATATTATGTATATATGTACATTTTTTTTGTAATACGTATAATGTAATATTAATAACGATAAATGAGACCAGAACAGCTTTTGAAATTTATGACCTTTGACCCTTTCGCCGTACATGCACGTAAATACTGAAATTTTCATCTCTCACTTCTCGCCTCCACCATATTCTCCAAACGAGGTTAAACAGAACTTGTGATTTATGCCTAGCAATTATATGCGGTCAAAGGCTCACCGGGCCTTGGGAATGCAATTAGGTTGTACCGTTGATGTACGACCGAAGCGAAAATTTTGAAGATTTTAATTTGCCACAGTTGCTTCACCGTGTAAATGAGAGCGCCGTTAATTTCGGGATGTTCTTTCAACTTGAAATTAGTTCGAAACGCCGGTAACACCACCTCCTCTTTCTCCTCCACGCCACGGAGGCTCCCTATTACTTGTTATTCACCGTCTCCTTGTCAGGCATTTTTTTTAACTGAAAAGTTATTAGCATTAATAACTCTTTAAATATCCCCTCAGGTAAATAAATAATTTCCTTAAAACAATTCCCAACGAAAACCAACGAGGATATTAAAACAAAAACGGATATTAAGACTACTGCAGGTACCTATACTTTTTTTAATTATAAAAATATATTTCAAAAATTTGAACCGTATAACAAATTAATAAAAAAAAGGAAGTTTAATTGAAATAATTTGACAAGAAAATGGCATTCGTTTTTTCTACAGCGTTCATTCGTTGGCTACAATACAATTAAATTTTTACGAGTACCAACTATTATAGTTCTATATAGGTACGTATAAAACATATCATATAATATATATATTATGACAGACCGTATTCAGTTGTATAGTTTCTTTATTCCGATATTCGTTTCAGAAAATAATATTGGGTTCATGATATACCATTCATAATAATAGCTGTTTATTTTACATTTTATAAGGAATCATAATATAAACAATGTTCGTATACTTTTAAAATATATATAACATTTCTTGGTAAAAAAACAATATACATCATACCTATATAATAATAGGTAAATAGTGTGGAATGTGATCCAAATAATGGGAGCCCTCGAGCGCTGCTTATTTCATATTTGTCAATTTTGAAAAAAAACCCAAAACCATAAAATATTTATAAAAAGATTTGTGGCTAAAATACATTATACATACAAGAATGTTTGAAAGTATGTAGTACCAAAAGTAGACGTAACGAACTTCATATAATTACCAAAGTACATAAAGGTATATCTATATTCAATACATACCTACCAGTATATTTATGGCTTTCTATTTAATTATGAGCTTATTTTGTATATTAAAACTAATGCTTTCGGTTATGTATTATGAACTAGTTATGATATAACCCTATACACTTCCTTTTTAAGTTTTAATCAACTTGGACCTATAAAACGGTATTAACATTATATTGTTTTGGAGAAATTAATAATATAAATTAGTGTAGGTAGGTACTCAATATTCGGTAAAAGTATACACATAACTTACGAAGGTTTTCAAGATCTTGAAAGTATTGAGGCGCTTGATATTTCGGATATTATGATATTATTACCTAAGATAATTATGTCCGTTGTATTAATTTAGCAAAGATTCGAAAATTTAATTTATTAATGTTATTAGATAATTTTCAATACATTGATCTATGTAGTTCACTTTAAGTAACTATTTTAATCATCAATTTAATATTTCTAAATAGTTTTAATGAAAAACACTCAGAATAATTTTATTGCAATCGCTTTTGTATGTTGGACAAGTGCAGTAAGGCGCTTAAGAGCTAAAGACATTATTCTAATGTTGGAGTTTTTATTTTTTATTTTTCCATTGCTATCATTGTATTCAGATAATAACACGGGATAATTGATATAATGAGGTGTCCATATAAATAAGATGTGTCTAAAGGTATTTGTTAAAAGTTATTGATCTAAAACCATTTTAATAAATATTAAAATACGAATTCAATTATATTAAAATGAGMCTAAAGTTTTTATAATAAATGTATGTATAATGTGTTGTTCTAAACCGTTATAAGTATGATATATTTTAGATAAGTACTTTTTGCAATAATTCGACGTGATCGTGTCGTGTAAGGTTGGTTACAATGTGTACCGTCTCATCTCAGCATTATAGGTGCGTATGTTTCTAATTATTCTAATTTAGTGATAATAGTTCGCGTTGTATATATTATATAGTTGGGTTATTATTTATAAACACTAAGGAATAATAATTAACTGTTTTTACGTACCTTGCAGCTGGAGTGGCTGATGTTGCTCAAGTTCAGCCGGTACACGTGATCCCTGAAAACCAAATGAACCAACGTTATATATTATTAATTAATTAACGAAGTACGAACGGATGAACGTTCAAGGAGGACGGGAGAGCACTAAGGTGATTAGTGCTGTAATAGACAAGGGCCTGTCACTATTTAGACGATCGAAAAGTTTTCAGCCCCGCAGTGAACTGTCAGGAGGCAGAACGCGCATTGGTCTACCACCGACTCCCGTATATGTGTGTGCGCGCGGACTTTGGAGTATTGACCGGGTATGGGCGAGGGGGTGACGGAGAAATGATTTAACTTTAGAATTAATTTAGGATCAGAATTTATGTATACACATAATATACATAATAATATAATATGTACACGCCAATCCCAGAGAAAATGCAATTGAACATGTGCCGCCGAGCTAATTACGGCGTATATTCGGAATGTTTGTTTGGCATATAATGCATTATACGTATACACGTCACGAGCAAGATGACGATAATAATAATAATATGATAATGCCGAAAAGAGACGGACGTTTGGCGTATCAAACAGTTAAGTTTAGTCGAAATACGTATAGGTACGTGGAAAATGACATTCGCGTCAGTATTGTATGATGTTTATTATATTATTGTGATTGTATTATTGTGTAGGGTGTCAACGCAACGATGAAAACGATCCACGGTGATGATGATAACAAAAATAATAATATATTCGCAATGTGCTCATTTCGCATGAAGGTTTTTGTCACGTCTAGTCGAAATTTGCAATAACTTGATGTGTATAGTACAATAAATATATTTGTATACAATATGTATACATGGTTAGAATTGCATGAAATTCTGTATAATATTTTTATTTATGTACCGGAACTTGAATCGTTTTATTCAGGAAAAAAAAATATATATTTTAAGTATTCGATAAAAGGTTAACCATATTCTCAATTTGTTTCCGATATTAAAATATATATAACTTTGACTATCATTGGATAGATAACTGTTATATTTTATGTTACGTAGTTCTATGCATTAATTCGTTTGGTGCACTGTGCACATAAGCTAGTTAATATGAATGATAAAATGAGTGCAAAACTAATTAAAACACTGCTGGTTGAGAGTGGTTGTGCTCGCGAGTGTGTTTGTCTATTGAAGTGTAAAAAAAAAAAAAAAAAAATGTTAATCTTCTCTTTACAAAATTCAACTAAACCTCCGCATGAGTTGATTTACTATAATTTCGGTGCCTTTGGGTAGTTTCTCGTCTCGGAAAATACGATCGGTATTATAAAACTTGTGTTTCGGACAAATATACCACACGCGCTAAGAACCGTAAACCGCAGACGCTGTGCACACGATTATCGTGTTCCCGAATACATTAGGATTAAATACACAAAACCTCTAGACGAAGGGATGTTCGCGGTGGTCCAAGTGCGGTACAAGATATAATGATCATAGATGTTTACGGAGTCCAAAAATAGCGGTCGATAATATTATTGTTGTGCCCGATCCACTGCATAGGTCGATCACGACTGTTGTCGAACGTGTTTGTTATAAAAAAATAAAATGATTTTTAAACGGACAGTGATTTGAAAACAAATGTTCGACAACGGTGTTCATTCGACTTACACAAAATAACATCTCCCACTCTATTAGTTGGCAACTTGAAGGTTTTTCGCTCGTATTATTTATCTTCATGTTATACCACACCTATTGGCTATATAGTGACGTGAACGAGTGTATTTGATAGTTTTTCAGTTTCCCGAATAAAAGCCCCACGGCAAGCTATCAAGACGATTTTACAATCCGACACGGCGTCACCCAGACAACTTGCAATATTATTGTTGCCCACTGCAGGTTATTGTATGAGCTACCTACCTATATTAAATATTATAATATTATTTACGATATTATTTCAGAATGCTTCATGAGACATCTGACGGATTTGGTCTGGTTAGTCATTATATATTACCTACTGACAAAATCATTTTAAATAAACGTGGATCTTATCAGTTTTTAACATTTTTTTTTACTATAAACAAAATACTTGTTGTATGAATATTAAGTGGTTCTCCCCGGAAAATATATCCATATATTTAAAAAATATATAATACTATTAAATTAATCAAATTAAGAAAATTTTTTTAAAAATTACCCAAACAAAAAATTGTTGCAACAATCTTTATATAACTAATATTACATGACATATGTAATAATAATATGACATTAATAGAAAATAACTCTGAATTTTATAAAGTTTGCATAAAATAATGTTAATTTTCTTTATAAGTATATAGTTACCTATGTATATTTTATTTATTTTACAACTACAATTTAAATATCTAAGAAATAGCCAACAACGATAAAATCGTTTATTAAATTTTTGATAATTGGATTTAAATTTGAAACGACAATAGATTATAGGTGGTGCCGATGCGAACCGAGCGAGATGAGTGTTCAACACCCTATAATACTGAAATAATCTGCAGCCCTTACTCTTTCAAGTGTGTAATAATTGGAGAAAAAAAATATGACAATATACAATAATATATTAATTTTCAAACGTAATAATGAATAGGTAATTGTACGTCTCGTCACAACTGCACAATACGGCTCAGGTTATTTTGATTTAATTCGCGCGCGTTCAGCCGTGACGAAAATTTTACCGAGTTTAAATTAAAAAACAAATACTCGTGTAATATTCTCGATCGAGGGTTATTTTATTTCACGAACGATTTCTTTTACGCCCCACGGGGGTTAACGGGGTCGTCTCGGCCACGGTATACACATTGCCGCAGCAGCAGCTAGAGATCAATATCCAGCCAGATTACCATTACTTTCATACCACGGTGCGGGCGTTGACTTTTTATTTAATTATAAATTTTTTCGTCTACCCAACCGTGCGTTAATTTCATCTCGAGCGTCCAGTGGGTGCTCCACCACCTCGCTGGGTGCTGGACGACGACGGGCGCGGTACAAATTGACGGCGAATTTTTCGTCCCAATAATTCGGTGGCGGGCGGGCAGTGCAAGAGCGGGTAGTGATGTGGGTGGAAGAACGGCTTTTTAAAAACAGCCTTTAGAATGTCATAACGAAACGGCGTATAAATCAGCTGCAGACCCCTACAACAAGCCCACCCCTGTCCTGCAGCAGCAGCGGCGGCGGCGTATATAATATTATTATATAGTGAGCGCTGCGCCGCTATTCTTCTGCGGCGGTGAGAGATCGAACCGGAACGCGCCAATCGTTGAGGTACGACAAAACGGGGTGGCAGACGGAGCAGATAGAGAGAAAGAGAGAATTCAAGTATGTATATATATATATATATATATATTCTGTGTGTGAGTGTGTATTATAGCTGCAGTGGAAGAAACAAGAGGAGAAGCGGGGGGAGGGCGACTGTTTAATTTCACGGTTCGACTGGCAAACTCTATGCCATTTACTATATATATATTAATGTAATGTATACGAATGTGCGTTTGTTTGTGTGTGTGGCTCGTTATTTAGTTCGCAAAACAAACATACGAGATCGCAATGATGAGCCGCGGAACTTGCAGCGGGGATACCGCGGTTACGGTCTGGTTTTTTCTCTTCCCCCCCACTGTTTGTTTGGTTTTTACCATGCACCGCGCTGTGGAACTCTATCGTCGGCGAGGCTAGTGCGAGTGCGAAGAAGAGTCTATCGAAACTTAACATATAGATTCGCTTTAATTCTCATTAATTAACTGCAATGACGAGGGTGATGACGACGACGTCGACAACAACGATATCGCGCGGTAGTCGTTCGTTCTTAATGATAGTTAATGCCCTCGGAAATATATCCGTTTATTAAGAAAACTCTTTTAATGCACATCGGTTTAATGAAGTTTATAATACCCCGAAATCGGACATCCATAATTTGATATCGATTTCGTCATTCGATAAAAATATAGACCTCTAAAAAATACAGTATGTTATTTTTTTCTTGGTATATTATGTACATTTTGTGTTACCAATAAAATAGCTCGTTTCATACAAAATGTATACAGTTTATACAATTTAATGTACGTATTAATAAAATCCACAAAAGTCAACAATAAATGTATATATTTATACGAAAAATTTAATAAAACTTTATATTGAAATATATATAACTATATAAGTATACCTATAGGTATTAAAATAAAATTGTTGCTAATACTTCATTAAAACTAATAACATTGATTGCAAATAAAAATAAATAGAGATAGTTTTTCTAAATAATAATATAATACAGGATGTCCAAAAGAGATCTGACATTCTGACAAATGAAATAACTTTTGTTCTAATCAATATTTTTTAAAAATTTCTTTTAAATATAATCCATTGACACTTGCGCTACATTTTTAGAATACATTTTTTTTTTTTTATACTGAAAATAAAAAACTTAAAAATTGATAAAAAAATGTTTTCGAAATATTCAATATAGCCAATTT